GTTCCATTCTCTCCAGTCTTGGTCTAAAGCCATATCCAAAATGCATGTACTAACATAATAATAAACGTGCAAATATACCACTGCAAACCAATAGCTGCAGGTACCAATAAAGAAACCTCATCTCTTGAAGAACCCTGTCGTCTACAGACTGGAAAGACAACAAGAAGAATATCCTCCTTTACCAAGACAAATCAGTCTGTGATGACATTATATTGATCAGATAACTTCCATTGGGTGGTGTTTAATGGTGTAATAATTCAGGTTGAGCTTATACGAGGGGTTTGACATGTTTCACAAATCTTATAGAACTAAACCAAGGGAACTGAACAAGCTATTTCACTTTACTTATAGCCCCTGGATTTATAAAAAAGGTCTTAAGTGTCAAGCTAATCATGTAGTAACTAAAATACTGCTTGCAAACCTACTGTAAAAAATTAATTCTAAAGTTTTTCCAGATTGAACCGGTCAAAGGTGTAGCATGAACTCAGTTTAAAGATGCAAGAATGTATCGTAAAAAACTGTGAATGAGATTAAAAATATATATAACTAGAAACTTGCAATGGCTGAAGCCATTGCGATTGACTGCGGAACAGATCTAATGTGGAAATCTGCTAAAAAAAATCCTTGAAATCCTTTAAAAAGCCTTGAAACTGTTAAAATACTTGATAGATATTTGAAACTCCTGAAGTCCTTGAAATTGTTGAAACCTTTAAACTCCTGAAATCCTTGAAACTGTTGAAACATTGAAACTCCTGAAATCCTTGAAACTTTTTTAAACCTGGAAACTGTTGAAAGTGTGGAAACTCCTGAAATCCTTGAACCTCCTGATATCCTTGAAACTGGTTAAATTCTTAAACAGCTGAAATCCTTGAAACTACTGAATGTATTGAAAGTGTCCTTGAAACTGAAAAATCCCCTCACCGCTGAAACAATTTGGTTCCTGTAACTAAGGAAACCTGGTCTGTGGTCATTATCTGGTGGTGGTCTGAGTCTTCGTTTGGGTCTTGGTCTGGTGGTATAATGCAACCTATTAGGTTGCATTATACATGAAAAAACCCTATTAAGTTGCATTATACTGGTTAACATGAAAAAAACCCTATTAAGTTGCATTATACTGGTTAACATGAAAAAAACCCTATTAAGTTGCATTATACTGGTTTACATGGAAAAATCCCTATTAAGTTGCATAATACTGGTTTACATGGAAAAATCCCCATTAAGTTGCATTATACTGGTTTACATGAAAAAAACCCTATTAAGTTGCATTATACTGGTTTACATGGAAAAACCCCTATTAAGTTGCATTATACTGGTTTACATGTAAAAACCCCTATTAGGTTACATTATAGTGGTTTACATGTAAAAATCCTTATTAAGTTGCATTATACTGGTTTACATGTAAAAACCCCTATTAAGTTCCATTATACTGGTTTACATGTAAAAACCCCTATTAAGTTCCATTATACTGGTTTACATGTAAAAACCCTATTAAGTTGCATTATACTGGTTTACATGAAAAAAACCCTATTAAGTTGCATTATACTGGTTTACATGGAAAAATCCCTATTAAGTTGCATAATACTGGTTTACATGGAAAAATCCCCATTAAGTTGCATTATACTGGTTTACATGGAAAAATCCCTATTAAGTTGCATTATACTGGTTTACATGGAAAAATCCCTATTAAGTTGCATAATACTGGTTTACATGGAAAAATCCCCATTAAGTTGCATTATACTGGTTTACATGGAAAAATCCCCATTAAGTTGCATTATACTGGTTTACATGGAAAAATCCCTATTAAGTTGCATTGTACTGGTTTACATGGAAAAAACCCTATTAAGTTGCATTATACTGGTTTACATGGAAAAAACCCTATTAAGTTGCATTATACTGGTTTACATGTAAAAACCCCTATTAAGTTGCATTATACTGGTTTACATGGAAAAATCCCCATTAAGTTGCATTATACTGGTTTACATGAAAAAAAACCCTATTAAGTTGCATTATACTGGTTTACATGAAAAAACCCTATTAAGTTGCATTATACTGGTTTACATGGAAAAATCCCTATTAAGTTGCATTATACTGGTTTACATGGAAAAATCCCTATTAGGTTGCATGATTACACTGAAGTCCTTGAAACTGCTGAAGTCCTTGAAACTGCTGAAGTCCTTGAAACTGCTGAAGTCCTTGAAACTGTTGAAGTCCTTGAAACTCTTGAAATCTTGAAACTGCTGAAATCCTTGAAACTGTTGAATCCTTGAAACTGTTGAATCATTGAAACTGTAGAAATGTCTGAAAGAGCTGAAGTCCTATTAAAATGCATGGGCCTATTAAAATGCATTGCAGAATTCTCAATGCAGATTTTTGTCCGATTGCGGAAAAACCGGAAATCGCTGAAGTCCCAAAAGTAATAGCAATAATCTCCCAAACATGTGGAACGTTTTGATGTATAACTTGTGGAAATTGTTGAAAATGTGAAAGCTGTGAAACGTGTCAAAAAAAATGACGGAATAAAGAAATACAAAACCAATGGTTGACTGCGGAAGGTTCCGCAGTCAATCAAAAAGATTCAGAGAAAAAAACAATGGAACTAAATCCCTGATATTTAACACTAGAACGCCCAGCCAAATTTGGGGCTAGTTTGAAGAGGAGCTAACCCGCTACTTGGGTTGCTAACATTTGCATGTCAAATGAGGTGATGACCGAAACAACAGGGGGCTAGGGTGGGCTTTGTTTATTCGTCTGGGGGAGGAAGGGCTGCGAATGAGTGACTTCCAGACTGTGAACCCTGAGAATTAATATACTGTATATATTTTGTAATAACATTTTTTCTCAGTGGCTTTGGTGCATTTAAAGTTCTCAAAACTCTTAGTCAATTTTTCTTATTTTGTAGCATTTAAAATCAATAAATCTCACTAACCAAAAAAAACCTGTGTGGTGACCTCTCCCTAAGATGGCAAAGTAAAGTGGTGTGTATTTCACATATGTACTGCATATGCAATAATACAGTAACTTATGTTAGTATTAGATAGCAATATGGCCTACGTGCAGGACTGTACAAGGACTCTACAAGGACTCCATGTTATGACTATGATGTGACTGTCTCTTTGTGACACGTATGTCTTTCGATGTGTGACGTGACAATGACTATATAAACTGTGTACTGCCTTTATTCTGTCTGAGAGAAAGAAACAAAGTAAACCAGTGGAACTTGAGAGAAACATAAATAAACTTCCAGAGTTTGGCGCACCACGATCCATCTCTGTCTGCTAAATCCTGACAGATTTGGTGGAGAGTGCGCGGCTCAGTGTGTACCATTCTCTGGATTGTTTTGAGGGAGTTTTCTTTGTTTCTTTTTCTCGGCGTGGGAAAGCTGAGAGTATCTGGGGCCTGGGAGCGGTCCAGCAGGCTGGAGAGGCGACCGGCTCCGGGACTCTTTTTCGCTGTCTCACTATATTTTTTTGTGTCCTGTTTTTTGGACTGAGCGTTTAAAATTGTTTTTCCATGTCCACATTCCGGGGATTTTTGACGTGCGATTGGTCTCTGCCGATGGAAACTAGTTCCCGGTACTAGTGAGCGCTGGAATGTGAGATTTCATAACACTTTGAAGCAACTTTTGTTAAAGTTAAACTCATCATTCTATCAATGTGCAGAAGCCAGTACTTTTCCCTTGTTTTGTCTATCTGAAGGCCAAGCTACAAGCACACTGTGGCAGCTGCTGATTGGAGGTCTCCATGCCTCCGCTCTGTATAATACACTTGCATTCTGTTGTTTCTGTGATCGTGTGCTGTGATCGTGCTGTCTCTACCATCGACAATAAAACATGTCTTCTGTCTGAATTAACGACGCGATCCCAGACTATGTCATCTTCTTCAGGTGGTGGAGAATGCGGGCATTGTCTGTAACATCTAGAGAACAGAAGACTACTTTTTTTTTACACAAAAAGTGTTTTTTTTTTTCAAGCCAAAACTGAGAAACCTCAAGAGAAACCATGCATCTGGACCAGCACACATGGACAATCTGCACAGCCCCTGATTCCAGTCAGGCTGTGAGCTGCTGAGACATGGACAACACCAGCGTCCTCTTTTGCATGGACATCATTTGGAACAATTGGATTAAACAATTTGGACATAATTTGGACTGAATTGAATTGCTGAATCTGGACACTAAAGCTGAAACGTGTGATTTGAAAGACACGTCACAGAAGAATTCATGGCTCGACACAAATGCAGCCTGAAGAAACCAACACGGAGAAGTGGGAGAGACTGTTTTCAAAGCAATATCTGGATCCACCATCGACTGATGAAGTTTGGTATTTTACTGAAGATTGTTGACAAGTTTTATGAAAGATCTGAACATGTTTTATGAGTTTTCTGAGTTTTTGAAGTATTCCGAGTTCTGAGTTTTTTGAAGTACCGACTGAAGTATGAGTTTAAGTATTGAGTTATGATGTTATGTTGCTGTTTATCGATCCTGATGGTCACACGTGAATATGTGACCAGAGGGGGGAATGTGAGATTTCATAACACTTTGAAGCAACTTTTGTTAAAGTTAAACTCATCATTCTATCAATGTGCAGAGCCAGTACTTTTCCCTTGTTTTGTCTATCTGAAGGCCAAGCTACAAGCACACTGTGGCAGCTGCTGATTGGAGGTCTCCATGCCTCCGCTCTGTATAATACACTTGCATTCTGTTGTTTCTGTGATCGTGTTCGTGCTCGTGCTGTCTCTACCATCGACAATAAAACATGTCTTCAGTCTGAATTTAAGACACGATCCCATGTATGCCATCTTCACATTCTTATCACTGGTACAATCCAATACTTACATAGTTACATATCAACACTGCTTTTATAAAAAGAGATAAACTTTACACAATATTTACAGGAGTGGTATTAAATATTACATATTTACAATGGTATACACACACATATATACATACTGTATATATACACATATACATATAATAAGCACTGGCACAATGCAGTTCTTGTATTAGCTTCGGGCTGTGAGACTATCCAGATGAAATCTAGAGGCAGAAGAAATGTCAGTTTTAGTCAAAAGGCTTCAGAAAATATACAATAAATGTAAATGATGTGTTTGTTATTATTGTTTTTCCTGTGTTCCAACTGTTTGATATTCTGATCTGTTGTTGAGGAGTCAACAACTTTGTTAAGTCCTCTGAGACAACGGCTGTTGAGATTTAGGGCTATATAAAAATATCCATCCATCCATCCATATATCTATCCTGATGGATGGATATATAAAAATATATTTCATTTAATTTAAATGTAATTGTATTCCTATATAAAGCTGTGATTAATGATTACTTCAGAGGCCAATTAGTCTCCCAAATAATGCTTTGTTTAATCAAATATTTGTTTAGATCTCAAAAGGGGATCCAAACAAAGCAAAGCTGAAGTGATGCCCCTGAACATGTTCAGATCTGACCTGCTACACTTTGGGGTTGTGTGATTAAAAATACTGTATGAACACTTTGGTCATTATAGAATTATCTCATGAAACCTCGTCTCAGCATGTTTAAGGTTCAAAAAATACTATGATACAACTATTTGAATAACTACAAACTAGTTCATCATAGAGACAAGATGTAACATAATATGTTGTTTGATTGGACTTTTTCAAAACCATTCATTCTGTAGTAATTACAGCTCTGACGGAGCCGTAAAACCACTCAGTATCTTTAAGTCTATGTAAGATTCAAGTCCTATTTCCTTCTGACCTCTTTGCCTTCTTCCAGGCATCTTGACACTTTACAAATGTCAGTTCTTGGTTTAAGTTGTGAGATCCTGGATCTTTCAGACAGAAGACCAACCTGGGAACAAAACACATGATCAGAGTGTGCATTGGGGGCCTACTCATGGAGCTCATCTTGAAGGACAATTTCTTACTTTTGCTGGGTCTCTCCCGATCTGATACGGATCCGGTGGACGTCCATGTTGTTGGCCTCGTTGTCCCCGGACCACCACGACGAGACCATCTTCAGCATGTTTGAAGCCGACCAACCGTTTGTCTCTTCCCACTTAAACTTCAGCATCAGCAGATCGCCAATGTCCTGCTCCGTCACCAGCAGGAAAGAATGTGTCCGATTTGAGGAGATTTTCTCCTTTCTGACGAGCAAGAAGTGTATATTTAATTTAATTATACCATGGTCAGTGAGGATTCCATTGATGCATACTGTTCAATCTGCATAATTACAGGCTCCACCTCAGACGTCACCATAGTAACCCACAGTTGAGCACAGTTAACTTACTGTTTGCATTATAAAGTTACTTTTAAAGGTCTATTATACAGCCCAATGTTAAATCAAGTTGCTAAACATGCTAAATATTTATTGTAAAATTCAAGTGCTAAATCTAGGGAAATTCCCTTTCTTCAAAAAGGTAGCTGCCTGATTTTCTGATCTGTTGTTGGCCAATTGACAACTGTGTAAAGTCCTCCAAGACCATTTCTGTTGGGAATTAGGGCTGTAGAAAAATGTAATTGAATTGAATTTAAGTTGAATAGCATTTTTTGGACACTCAAGACTGCTCCACATGGCATTATTCATTCACTCCGTACACCATAGGGTTTGATACTTTTCAAAGTCAACTTTATGTGCATACTAGTCCTGTCGACTTCAACTAGTCCATGACATCAAGGTCATAGCCCAAAGTTCCAAGGGAACTTTAAATTATCCTGAGCTGTTTCTTTCTTCAACATTATCAAAAAGGCAGAGTCTTAGGGTCTGCTCTCTACTGTCAAACAAGGTAAGATACAGCTGTAGAACTAATACACAGAGGACTAATATACCATATTGTTAGTATAACATGACAGTCATCTGAATTTAAATCATCTTAAAATATCATCCAGCTTCTTCCCTCTGGCAGAAGATATCTCGTTACGCTAACAGTTTTTATCCACAAGCTGTTATCAGTGTGAACAGGGCACTTTAATGATTTGCACTAGTTTTGAAACTGTTTTAGTCGATCGATTTCACAGTGACATTTGTTTACCGTTTAATTTGTTTTATTTTTGTCTTTTAATGGTTGTTTTATGTCTGTATTTGTCTGTGCACACTGGAGACTTTTGCTAATGTATTCCAATGTGGTGTTTTTACTGCAAATGGCAAATAAATTGAATCTGAATCTGAAATAATGAGTGCATGTTTTGACCATGCTATGAGCCTTACTTCCTAATATATGGATTCATTTATAAGGAATCAACTCACAGTTTGAGCTCAAGGTTTTCGGCCTCTCCTTTGGTTCCAAAGAGCGAGACGGTGAGAAAACCAAGTCTGAAGTGTATCTTTTATGCTGAGAAGACGTTCCAGATGAGGGTATGGGACGTTCCCGAACAAACCGAGCGCCCACAATCGTTTTCCGAGATTGTCCATCCATCCATCCATTTTCTTCCCCTTAATCCATTTCTGGGTCGGGGGGTGGCCAGAGATGCCACCCAGTACACTCAGCACCAGCCCCTCACTGACCCTCCTGCAGGTGCTGAGTCCACAGGAGCTGAGATCTTTCAGTGGAAGCTTCAGGCAAAGTGGGGTTAAGTGTCTTGCCCAAGGACACAACGACAGCAGTCATCTGTGGGAGTCGTGAAGTAGGTCTTAAGGTGGGCTCGAACCCACGACCTTCAGGCTCAAAGGCCAATGTTCTACCAACTGAGCCACTGTCGCCCCCGAGATTTCCGAGATTGTATTTGATAAAAACTAAATGTCTGTTGTTTACATTTGGAAGGTTATAAAACTATACTCAAGTCACACACAGGTCTGCACTTAGCATAATGACGGTGCAAAAAGCCACATAACAAGATATAAGCTCGTCTGGGCATTTGCACGCACTCGGGTTTCCTTCATAGAGTTGTCCTTTTAAAAAATATTTATATCTTTGGGAATATTTGTATGGATTCAATTGGATGATCATCTGTCTTTTCTTCACTTGGAAATCTGTTTGTACATCTGGCCCCAGCCTTTAATGTAGACTTTTTAATGAAACATACAAACCTCTTCAGTAGAAATAGACAATAAAGTTTTCACTACAGATTTTCTAGTAGTTGTCTATGGTGCAATACTGAAGAAAGTGATTAAAAATAAGTTCAAAAACAAGATTTGCCAATGGGACAATTAAAAATAATAGTTTTAAAAAGATGTTCTGTTTCTTGGAATGAGGAAATAAAGCCGTAGTTCTTGAAATAAGACTAAATTGCTTTTCTCATTGGAAAATGAAGTTGGTAAGTACTTTATCTATATAGTGCATTTTTACAGACCAAGGTCTCCCAAAGCACTTTACAATGTTCTCTCCCCAACACCATTCATTCAATTTGGAGAGACGAGAAACGAAAATGGTTATGAGTATTTATTGAGGTGGTTTGGCGCCCTAGGCCCCGGTGCGGCCTTCAGATCGGAGAGGCTCCTGCGATGGAGCGCGTACAATCCCCCGGGACCTAGGCACTGGTGGCGGCATTTTGGCAGATTGGAGGCAGATTGGAGGCAGATTGGAGGCAGATTGGAGGCAGATTGGAGGCAGATTGGAGGCAGATTGGAGGCAGATTGGAGGCAGGGTGAAGAGGAGGAGGAGGGGAGGCGGTGGTTGCGAGGCTTCGAGAAGGCCGAGAGTGGGAGTTGCTCCGCTTTTAAGCGGCTGCCTGTCCGGCACGGATGATTGGAAGGGGGCGTTTGCTGAGCGATAGGCTGGGGAAGCGAACCGGCCTGGAGGGGGTAGCTTTTGGCTGACGTCTACCAAATTGAATTTTCGCGAGCTACATTTCAATTTGGAGAGACGAGAAACGAAAATGGTTATGAGTATTTATTGAGGTGGTTTGGCGCCCTAGGCCCCGGTGCGGCCTTCAGATCGGAGAGGCTCCTGCGATGGAGCGCGTACAATCCCCAAAAGGCTGTGTGTGTTGATGGAGTTTTGCAGCCTGGTTTGCAGGGAACAGACGTCGTGGCTACTCTATGCTGTGACCGCTATCGCTATGCTGTGACCGCTATCGCTATGCTGTGACCGCTATCGCTATGCTGTGACCGCTATCGCTATGCTGTGACCGCTATCGCTATGCTGTGACCGCTATCGCTATGCTGTGACCGCTATCGCTATGCTGTGACCGCTATCTCTATGCTGTGAACCGTTTTGCGCTAACCATTTTTTGCTATGCTGTGACCGCTAACACTAACGCTATGACCGCTACCACTGACGCTATGACCGCTATCACTGACGCTATGACCGCTATCACTGACGCTATGACCGCTATCACTGACGCTATGACCGCTATCACTGACGCTATGACCGCTATCACTATGTGCTGTGACCGTTATATGCGGTTATCTTTGAGTGCCGGGACGTGAGCGCTCGCATCACGATCAACCGGACGCTGCGGCAGGGTTATCTTTGAGCGCTGGGACGTGAGCGCTCGCATCACGATCAACCAGACGCTGCGGCAGGGTTATCTTTGCGCGCTGGGAACGTGAGCGCTCGCATTACGTTCCGTCAGACGCTGCGGCAGCGGAGTGTTTGAGAGAAATGCGTGCCGCCACCAGAATCTTATTGGTTCACTTACTTTGTTTGAGATGAAGGTTGAAAGGGTCAGGGGACATAATGTTGGGTGAAAGAGAGCGACCTTTGTGTAAGCTTCCACTACGTCGAGATTATCACACATGACCGAGATCCTCTTTCTCCGCCACGCGTGATTCCACAGCGCGCAGGCCACGACCACTGGGAATATCTCGTGTAGGGCAGAGGAGATGCTCCGGTGGAAAGTAGCGGCCACGGCCCGGCAACCCAATGGTCCTGGAAGAATCCCCCAAAACCCACGGAAGGGGCACGTCCGTGTAGAAGCGGAGACCTGGAGGGGCAGAGACATGTCGGAGAGGGCCATTGATGTTGCAGGCGCCCTTACGCTTAGAATCTTGGGTTGGAGAGTAGGTAATCAGGACAGTAGGAAGGTCGGGAAAAGCCGTGTCTCGGACCGCACGAAGGTTGAGTGAGCAGTAGTAAAACGCTTAAGCAGAGAAGCCATGGAAGGCGAGCAGGAAGATGCTGCGAGGAGGGCAGACATGTACCTGGAAGATGAGCCGGAGTTCAGTGCCGCTGCAGGATGGGCAGCATGATTGGGAGCCTGCGATCAGAAGAGTGAAGAACACAGGTATGGATGCCTTTGATTAGGAGTCCGATTGACGGCTCAGCGCAGCTACTCGGCCAGCTGCATCTGATAGAATCGGAAGATTAAGTAGAGAGATGAAGCATGACCGCCGAAGCGACCCTGGGAGCACGGGTGCGAGTCCAGTGCAGCGCGGCATACTCTGCCGGGCTGCCTCCATTAGAAGCAGGATAAGCTTCTGAGAGAGTGGGATGCAGCAGTAGCAGTAGCAGCAGCGGCAGCAGCAGTAACCTCAGATAATAACGGCAACGACCTGTATCAGCCGCGGCAGCAGCAGCTGCAGCATCCGTAGATAATAACGGCAAAAACCCTGTATCAAAGCCACGGCAGTAGAATATGTTGTAGCTGTTTAGTGTTTCAGTAAGAGAAGCGAAGTGAAGAGAGATGACGAAGTACAGGAAGCAGCAGCAGCACGGCAGTAGTAGCAGTATGAAGCAGCAGCGGCAGCAGCAGTAGCAGTATGAAGCAGCAGCGGCAGCAGTAGCAGCAGTAGCGGTAACAGTATGAAGCAGCAGAAGCAGCATCAGCGGGAGCAGCAGCACCACGAAGCGATTCATACGAACAGACAGACGTGTCGCGCCAGTGTGCGCTGCTTGTCTCCATGAGCCAGGTTACATACGTGTCTGGAAGAGCCGAGCCACAGAGACAGGTGCAGCCTGGGAGCCTGCGGAACGGCAGCGGCACATGTAGTAGTAGAGCAGCAGGAACAGGCAGCAGGGACAGACGGCAGCAGGAGCGGCAGCAGGAACAGGCAGCGGCAGGAGCGGCAGCAGGAACGGCGGCGGCGGGATCGGCATCAGTAGGAACGGCAGCGGGGACCGGCAGCAGCGGCGGTCAGAGAACCAACCCACGGTTGTTTAACAGCCTGAGGAAATAAATCAACCCGAATCCGAAACATTCCTATGCGAATAACAGACGTCCCCTGGAGCCATCTTCTGCTTTGGTTATGGCAGATGCGCATGAACGATCACTGATCCATGCGTTCATAGCTCCAACACTACTTCACACCCATTGCAGATTCACGTTCGGCCCTTTTTCTTCCTGCTGCACTTTCAAAATGCAACACTGCAGTTAGTTACCTAATTTAATACCAGCGACCTAGCTATTTAATGCATGGTTTTACTGCAAGTGGCGGAACATATCTGAATAATGCACATAGCTCCTCGTATATCCCTCAGACGATAGAGATTGATGCCATTTAATATGCATTGCCCCTCAGTTAGCTCAAACACATGTGAAACGGAGCCTGCAGACCAAGCTCGGGGCGAAAAAACTGGCGCCTGCAGTCAAGTGCGTAGGGCAAAAACCAATCGCCTGCAGCCCAGAACTCCGGGATTAATCTGTCCGCGGTCAGCACGCTCACTGTACTCACATGCCAGGAGACTTGGGAAAGCAACGGGACAACGCGGCACCGCCAGACCTTCTGCGTGCGGCAGCAGACCACGAGGAACGAGCCGCACAGAAACCCGCGGAGGGCCCCGCGGAGCAGCCCGCAGAAAGAGCCCGCAGAGGAGGAGAGCAGTGGGGATATGCGAACCACAGCAGGTGCAGGGACGTGGAAGAGGAGCAGACCATGAGCAGCCAGACGGAGGACGCCAGGGACGCGCCGAGTAGCGTGAGTAGACGAAAACGATTCCTCCAGACGATTCTCTGCAAGGCTTCAGGAGCATGCGAGGCTTCGAGAAGGCCGAGAGTGGGAGTTGCTCCGCTTTTAAGCGGCTGCCTGTCCGGCACGGATGATTGGAAGGGGGCGTTTGCTGAGCGATAGGCTGGGGAAGCGAACCGGCCTGGAGGGGGTAGCTTTTGGCTGACGTCTACCAAATTGAATTTTCGCGAGCTACATTTGTCTTACTGTGTTCACAGTTTTATTCCTGAGAATGAGAATAGACATGGAGCAAAATCCCACAGATAATAAGCCACTGATAATGAGAGTGTAATACCACAGAGAGATTTATTAGCTTAAAATATATGTTTAAGAATATGGCTCGATAGAAGCAAATATACAAAGATATTTGTAAATAGATTAGAATAGTTTTAAACTATAGTGAATCAGTAAAAGTAAAGTACACAGTCTAAGATTAAAAAGTGATAATAATAAGTGAAGTGTAGTGTAAACAATTAGCATTAGAATAAAAGTATAGAGTAATAAAAGTGAAATTAGCTTCTAAATTGAGACTCAGCTCGTTTTTGTCTGTGTTTTGACTGAATCTGCTGAGTTCTTGTGTGTCCAATAGTGTTTTTGTTTGTTTTTATTTTTTGATTTGTTTTTGTTTGATTATTTTTTCCCAGGATAGAGGATAAAATCCACTAATATTGATTTGATGATTATGAGTTCAATGCATACATTTTCTTTGTTTTTTAATAATTTTGTAAAGTTTTTTTTTAGATTTTTTTTTTTCTTTTTCCACTTTATTGATTGATCAAATTGAGTGATCACTTGTGATTATGTGATCAAAGGGGAGGGTGTTAGTATTAGATAGCAATATGGCCTACGTGCAGGACTCTACAAGGACTCTACAAGGACTCCATGTTATGACTATGATGTGACTGTCTCTTTGTGACACGTATGTCTTTCGATGTGTGACGTGACAATGACTATATAAACTGTGTACTGCCTTTATTCTGTCTGGGAGAGAGAAACAAAGTAAACCAGTGGAACTTGAGAGAAACATAAATAAACTTCCAGAGTTTGGCACACCACGATCCGTCTCTCTCTGCTTCATCCCTGACACTTATGTCTCTTTATATAGAACAAACATACAAAAAAGCGTTATGGTAGAACTCTGATAAATGTAAACAATATAACACACCTCTTCATGAGTGAAAGCTGTAATTCACCTAAGAGCAATTGTTCAAATTTAGAAGGGATTTTCAGGATATAAAAAGATAGAGGAATGTATGAAATTAGCTTGACAGTATGTTTCATTCTGACTGAAGCAAATGATAATGTTATAAAACAGTATGTTTCATTCTGACTGAAGCACATGATAATGTTATAAAACAGTATGTGTCATTCTGACTGAAGCACATGATAATGTTATAAAACAGTATGTTTCATTCTGACTGAAGCTCATGATAATGTTATAAAACAGTATGTTTCATTCTGACTGAAGCTCATGATAATGTTATAAAACAGTATGTTTCATTCTGACTGAAGCACATGATAATGGTATAAAACAGTATGTTTCACTCTGACTGAAGCACACGATTATGTTATAAAACAGTATGTTTCATTCTGACTGAAGCACATGATAATGTTATAAAACAGTATTTTTCATTCTGACTGAAGCACATGATAATGTTATAAAACAGTATGTTTCATTCTGACTGAAGCACATGATAATGTTATAAAACAGTATGTTTCATTCTGACTGAAGCACATGATAATGTTATAAAACAGTATGTTTCATTCTGACTGAAGCTCATGATAATGTTATAAAACAGTATGTTTCATTCTGACTGAAGCTCATGATAATGTTATAAAACAGTATGTTTCATTCTGACAGAAGCACATGATAATGTTATAAAACAGTATGTTTCACTCTGACTGAAGCACACGATTATGTTATAAAACAGTATGTTTCATTCTGACTGAAGCTCATGATAATGTTATAAAACAGTATGTTTCATTCTGACTGAAGCACATGATAATGTTATAAAACAGTATGTTTCATTCTGACTGAAGCTCATGATAATGTTATGTGATGTGAGAAATGCACTAAAGCCACTGGAGAAAAACTGTAACTATTCAGATCTTCCCCCTCCCCCTAAGATGGCAAAGTGAAGCAACTTCAGCTCAGCCTGTGATAACGGCCCTATTTACATAACAAAGTTGGCCGTTCACAGGTGATTTTGTTTGTTAGCTAAAATCCTTGGGGTCATTTGGCACCGTGGAGGGGATGATAGGTATAAGTGCCAAATGACACCTCCATGGGAGTGCTAGTGTTAAAGTTAATGTCAAAATGTGGAGAGGGAGAGAGGACATTTTCAAGTTAGATCCTCATAACACAACACAACTGATTTGGTTAGATTAATTCAAATCCTTCTTATTAGTCAAATAATTATCCTTCAGAAAATCTCATTAGTCGTGTTTTTTCCATCATAATATCATATTTGAAGTGAAAATCTTTATACAGGGTGCAATCTCAACGTAAACAGCCAGCGAAACCAATCATCTGTTATTTTCTTCAGGGCTTTATGAACTATTTACTCACAACTGCATAGTTTATCAGACTCATAATCCAAATTTAAACATAAAGCAAAAATAAATGTATTTTAATGGAATTTTGTGCTGATTTAAGTTACAATTGGCTCTTAAATCTCTGCTCAGTCACACATTTGTATCCATTCATTTGTTGTTGTTTTTTTTGCATTTTGACTGATGTTGCCAAATGATAACACATTTTGTAGACGGATTTTGATGGACCACTTTTTCAGTCACATTCGGTCCTGAATATAACGCTGCAGATTATGTAATTTCAGTTTCTGGAATTCAAATGTGAAGACCCCGGTGCAATGACCTCCTGTTGCACACGCACGGATCGGTGTAAAGTATCAGACTAAGCCGCCATGAACACCACTCATCGCATCAGATAGAGCCACTAAAATACACACACACAAACACGAAGGGCATTTCATTACATGGTATGAAGCTAAATGCAACACCTACATATTGAATACTGCTTCAAGGATACGATTGCGATACCATTACATAATCGGGATTTTTGGGACATATTTACATTGTTTACAAGCTACAGTGGTCCTTAACTGCTTTGAATAAACACATGTATTGAATCTGAAGGATGCAGTGTGGTCAGAAAATGCAGAAACAGAACTGTCTATAGTGGTGAATGATAAAGGCAAAGCTACTTTTGCGATATGTACTGATTCAAGTGTTAGGGTCGGCCCCAGAACAGATTCTTATGCTGTGAATATGCAAGACTGATGCCTCCTGCTGCAACTTGAGACAGACATGAATCCACAGGCGGACACTGGCAGCCTGAGGGAGGGGTCCATCGCTGGTGTAAGAACTTGTTGACTGCAGAAATGCGCCATCACAAAAAAGAATATTTTATATATGAAAGCAGACAAGATAAAGTATCTTGCGTGTTCATTGTTTTTTTAAGGGTAAAAAGGCTTGATGTTAGCAACAATTAGAGGCAAAAGGAGAGTGATGAGCAGGTAAGATGACTGAAACATAAGCATCTAGCCAGATCAGCCAGAGCCATTGGATTTTACAGTAATAATAGATATATTTTCAAACCGATTTCATCAATCGTCACATTTGATTGGACATGTAGCTAAAGAAGCAGTGTAGATGCAGTAAAGAATGAGTGTGACCTGTGATTGGTCAGTGCGTGTAATGAACAGTTACTTCTGTAAATACACCAAAATTGCTCAAGGCTATTCTATAGTTCTATGAACTATAATGAAAAACAGTTTGCGGGTCAAATGGAAGCTCTGAGAGATGGCAGTGAGAGCCTGCGTACACCACTGCTACAAAATGTTTACAACAGTAACATACTCCCTGTGCTCAAGGTTCCAGATGGACACAGGAAGCACCAGCCTGGGTAAGCGGAGCTCTCAGAGAACAAGGAAATACCCCCTTGCTGCTTTTGTTTACATAACTATAATAAATTTAGGGGCAGAAATCTACTGTATGTTAACAATAATACAACACAAGCAAAGATTTAATTGACAGTGAAAAGGTGGTTAGTTGAGGATTATTATGTATATTTCATACTTCTACTAGACCCAAAAACCAGATTTTCTGTTTTCCTTTGTTTGTTTTTATTTTCTTGAGCAAATTCTCAAGAAAAAGTGTTATTCTTCCGCTCTGGTATCTGACAGCTGTGACCAGCTCTAATCTACTCCATTAACATACTTTATCTTGGAAGCTTGGTTTTTGGGAAATATTTTTTGAAAAAGTGAGAGATATCTTTGAACTTCTGCAAAAAATATGCAGTATTAGGCTACTGTATTTTGTAGTATGTTTGAGTGTGTACCTCCAGGGAAAGAGGTATCCAACGTTTTTTTTGTGTGTGTGCCATAACTCAAAAAGTGAAGGGAGGATTTGGATGACAGTCAGTGATTACATTTAGAAGTAAATGCAGTATTTTTTATGTGTTCATGTGTTTTAATGAGTTATGTAGGGACATTTTTGTAATGGTAACAAATTGGAAAAGGGGATTTTGTCCAGAAAAAAATAAAAAGCAGATATCCTAATGTATTTATGCATTTATTTGTGTATTAATGTATTATTTATGTATTCATTTATCATTTAAATAAGAGCACCAGGCACTTTTTCATGTGTACCCTGCTTCACACAGACAGCAACTTTTACAATACAATAAGATAGGTTTAAAAAAAAAAGTTTCACAATGTACATTTTTCAAGGAATCCTATATATGTATTGAATACATCATTGATCTCTTCTAACAGACGAAAAAGGCCAACTTTACGTTTTCATGACGTGTAACCAATTTCTTCACAGAAAATATGATAAGTAAATTCTGGGGTTTTGAGGAGGAGAGTTGATGTTGAGCCCGCAAGAAAAGACAGAAGTGAGCAGATGGCGGTGTGTTTAATGGACTGTTTTTACCATGTGGGGCCTGTGCTCCGTGGCACCAGGACATCCGCTCTAAGGCAGGGGGCAGCAAGCGGATTGTTTCTGGAATTGATTTTTTTCAGTGATTAGGGTTTCTCGAAGTTATTTATTTTCTTCTAACAGCTAAACTTAAACATAATATTAAAAGTCCTACATTGTATTTATTATTTTTTCATAAATGAGAAACTTGAATAATAGTAAAGCATGACTCAGTCTCAGGATGGGTTTCCACTGAGATAGAGTTTGGCCAGTGTGATGAGAGTGAATGTGAAACATCATGTAGGATGATCTGATTATCACCAAGTTGTTACCCAGGACCAATGTCAAAGTTGTTTGACCAGGATCATAATTTGATTGGGTGTAGGGTTATGGGATCAACTCAATGATCCTGGACTGTTACTTGATGATATCAGATTGTGACTTAAATTCCAAGTCACGCCAGTTTGCACAATGCATGTGAATGAGGCAAGATGCCTTGCATTGGAGAAACAGTCTTGGTTGTGCTGGGTGTTTACATTTAATCCTGTATAAATATTCCAGTCACATGCTTTTCTGCACTTGTTTTCACACAGCTCCTCCTCCTGCTGCTGGTTGATGTTATAACTGTGCTATTAGGATTGAGTACTTTAGACCATGTAAAGTCACTTTATTTATTTGAATGTATTATGTCTTTGGTACAGATTCTATATTGATTTCTGCTCTGGATTTATGTGTGCTTGCTACATTTATAATCTTTTAAAAGTTTAAAGATGCTATACCCCTTTTTTATGAGTTAATAAACATGCTTATTACTACATACAAGTTGTATAGTAATCCATAATTCAATTGAAAACTTGAGCTCCTTGATTCAGCTTGTGTATGAATTTAGGCCGTCAAAAGTCCTGAGTAGAGACTTAGCGTGACGCCCGCTCGAGGCTGCGTCCTCTAGCCTCTACAGCTCTGCTAAACACAGTAGCATGTTAGCAGAATTGGCTATAACTCCTCTGTTTTGCTGTATCTGTAGACACAGCAAAACAGCCCAAACGACACAACAGTGAGGACGAGAAGAGGGAACTAAAGCGAAAAATTATCAAAGAAGATATCAAGCCCAGGTGAACATAGCTAACTTACATCATATCCTCTGGAGAGACTTACTGTACAGTCTATGGGAGAGACCTGCGGGTGCGGACCGCCTCGGACTATCTATGCTCGGACTACATTCGGAGATGAAACTAGCGGTAATCTTTCAGTTATATATTTTGTTAGCAGTGCGTTGTGTTTGTACCATTTCATCAGTGATTGTTGTACAGCAGGGGTGTGTTACGGCCCTGAGCCTACATATTGCTCCCTGTTTTTGTATTTTGTGTGTGCGTGTGTGGCAACCCCTCTTGTGTAAAGATCCCTGGCCTGTGATTGGAGAACCACTGGCCCTCCCGCCTCCCAGACGTCCGTGACACAGGTGCTGATTGGAGGAGCAGCGGTGCACCTGGCCAATCCAGCTTCCCCACCTGGAGTCACTCTGCACTTAAGGCCACACTCCACACCTGTTCGGGGCTGCCAGCCTGTGTGTGGCTGGTATGCCAAGTGTCCTTATGCTGTCTGTCATTGTCACAGTGGTGGCAATGACCTAAAGACGAGTCCGTATAGCTTTGTTTTGGTTTGTCTCTTTTTATTTGTCACCTTGAGGTTTTGTTTTCGTGACACTTCGCATCAGTTGAGACAACAGTAGGTTTAGTGTTTAGTTCTATGTGTATTAATGTAAAGATTTAGTGTAGGGTTTACTTTGGTAGCGTTGAGTTACCCTGTTATGTCCTGTATTGTGCCCTTTTGATTTGTGTCTACTTATCATTTACTTGCCTTTTATTAAATACTTGCTTTTCCATTGAACATCTTGGTTTTAATTTGTTACCTCCCTCACCCTAGCTGAGCTGGGTCGTAACAGGGTGCTCAATACGTCGATCGCGATCTATCAGTCGATCGCAAAGGTAGTATTGGTAGATCGAATTACATTAATAAAATGATCCGTTTATGCATTCGCATGTAGACAGATATAACCGGAGTTTTGCGTTTTCGCACGCCACAGTATGCCCCCAAAACCATAACAAACAAAACATGCGACCTCTGATCACTGAAGAAGCATGGATCTGCCTTAAAAACTGTTCGCTCCACTTCAGAGAGCAGCAAAGTGATCACGGAGACTCACGCTCGAAAACAACCAAAGCAGGAGCTAAACCAGGATTAAACCAGGGCTGAGGACGGGGGTCAGTGCTTGTAAACATATGTCTTCACCCTGAGTTTCTTCTATGACTGTGCCGCTACAGAAGTACCGGCGTCTGCATCAAAGCTCCGCCCACTTCTGTGTTTTTCCCCAATGCAGGAAGTCAGAGGACGCACATGTTTGGAATGTTATGAATGTGATTGAAAACGCTGATGCTCGGTTTTGTGTGGATGCAAATTATTTCATAAATCATGCTGTTTTGCATGGACATTAACATACATTGTAGATATAAAGAATACTCAATATATTTAGAAAAATATATATGTTTTGCGTCTTTGTAGTAGGTAGATAATTTTGATTTGATCATTTTATAAGTAGCTCACATGCTAAAAATGTGTGAGCACCCCTGTTTGCATATAGATCGCAAATACAACTAAGGCTCCGTGGGAGGAGAGCGTATAGGGAAATGAGAAGCCTGTTGTTGAGGGGCGGTGCTAAACATTCAAACCTTGCAGAAACGGGTATAGCTCCTTTAAGTTATATAGTTCAGAAATCTTAAAGAAACTGACTTTCCCTGAGTGTAAATGTTTTCACTTTTTCTTAATGTTTCAGTCATGAAAAACTTTTAAAAGTAATGATTATCTTCGATGTGGTCCTTGTTTCCAGCGAATTGTGCTATCATTACTGAAAAGGAGGAGATCCTAGACAAGACACATTGCACTCCGAAGCATTCTATTCTGTAGAATCACAAATATTACTGATATTCTAGTAACCTATTCAAATGTATCTGAAAAATACTTATTGAATTGTGGTTTGGGGTAGTTAAAAACAGTAAAATATTTTTGTAAACTATGGTAACTGTCATAGAAGTCAAACTTCTGCATCCATTTTTCATACGTCAGGACAAATCAGCAATAGGCACTTTTTTCTCTCTCTCAAAAGGTGACAATAAAAAAAATCACACACACACATGCACCATGGCTGAACGGACTTTCAAACATAAGAATATTTTAAGTTTATGTCTGAAAATCTGGGGAAATATTTGGACATTTTATTTGTTCAAAAGGTCTTTAAATTATTGCTTTTTCCCATTGAGTTGTATTGACACCTGCCCTTCAACTGAAATAGAAGTCTAGAACATGCAGGCAACCTATTATTTGCCATGGAATCTTGAACTCATATGCCGACAATTGATCCTATGTTGATTTCTTTTGTATATAAAGGCACATCTGAGACAAAGGGCGCACTGCCGTCACGTGTGTGGCGGTGCGTAAAGTGTCGTGCTCATCTCCGGACTGATTAGTCCCGCCACGTTTCTCTGGCAACTCCGTCTCCGCTCTGTCTCCATGGCAATGTATAGGCAGTTTACTTCCCTGTTCTGAGGCTCCTGACGCCATGCGTCAAAGCGCGAGGCTATACACTGTGCAGATGTTTCACTGATGCGCACAACGAACAATAAGCCGAGGCTCCAAAATATTCTCTAGTGTCGTACAATGAAATGCCACGCTCTGTTCCTACTCTTTTGTTTGACATCGGTGTGGTGGGTGTGCATGTGATCTATGGCAGCACATGGTGCAGTGCACAGGCCGACAATAGCACCTCATAATGTGTCTAACAGCAGCAGCTCACATGCATCGTGCTGGGGATGCTCTCTCTGTTGCTGCTTGGATGTTTCAGTCATGTCTCCGATGCCATGCAAAATGAATGATGAAGATGTGGTAAATAAAACCTATTACAGTCCTACTTCTACTGATGCAGAAAGAGGGAATTTCCTCTTACCCTTGGAAGCATCCTTGTCTTCTTTAGGCTTCGCCACTTTGCCGCTCATAGATCCCAGTTTGGATGTATAAGTCCCGGGTTAGACAAGAATCGATATCCTTTTAAGAGCCCACCGTCCTCAATGAAATCCTTCCCAAAGATCCCTGGTGCTGAGATAAGGTTTCTGTAAAGAAAATCGGCTGTATTATCACATTCTGTTCCGTGGAATCAGTAGGAGACAATAGCGCATGAGGTCCCCTGGTTACAAGTTGTATAGCCTATAATTGCCCCCATAATTATGTGATGATGTAGTCTGAAATCTCATACCACGCGACAAAAATCTCATCACCGAAACGCACAGATTTCCCCTCAACCATACACTCACCTTATCTCCTCCACGGTATCCGCTACATCAATGCACATTGATGAAAGGAGCCGTCCACACCATTAATAGTAGTATGAATACAAGGAAAAAGGCCTGCGCGGTCACAATTAAAGCAATAGACTAACAGATGCAACGAGGACTCTTGTTTTTAGGCGCGCAATATCGACAAAAAACAACAGCTGAAGTCCTATCTACAAGCAAACCGTGCGTGAAATGCCATCCAGTGAATCCCCTGATCTGACGCGTCCCTACAGCGGCTGCAAACGCACGCGCGGTGCGCCGAATCAACAGGACACGCGACGTGAGCGCACTCCCCCAGCCCCGCGTCACATTCACACCGCGGCGCGGGCGCTTGCTGTTGGACTCATGTCCAATGTGACTGGAGCCTTCGAGGGAAAGGAGCCTACACAGAGAGGGACTGTGCGGAGGTTACTGCGTCTGGAGGCGCACGCCATATCGTCTACACGCAGCGTTAATGCTGTTCCAAGTGACAAACAGGATCAAAGTGATGAACAGGGACATAACTGCTGAAAATAAAAATAAAAAACGCTAAAATACAAGATAAGTGAGTTCATATGACGATAAGCCATAAGTTTCTTTATTATTCCATGCAAAGCTTGAAGCATAAAATCTGAGGTTTTGTGAGATTTGCCCTCAACCATTTCAGATTTACCATTAGAGGTTTTAACTACTTGCTTGTTTGTAGCCTTACAAAAAGTGTTTAAATCACAGCCGAGTCTGAAAATTACGTTTGTCACTCTTTTGGGAAGAAACAATTTAAGTATCATCTTGATTACCTTCTGTTAAGTTGACGCGTTCTCTTCGTTGCTCAGAAGACAACTTTTTTGATTCAGTTTGCTGTCTACTTCTTGAATCAGTCCGTATCCAGTCTGTGTGCTCTCCTAAGGGTTTATGTCACATCACTGCTCCTGCTCTCTGTGGCACCTGGGGCTGATGGTTACTGGATCTATAAGCTTTCTATTTTTAGCAGAAACAGGACCCCCTTTAAACTTTCTTGACATGCTCAGATCTTCTGCGAGACATTCAGAGCACACTGTGTCTTGTTTAATGAGTTGCTGCAAGGAATAAAAAAAAGGTCTGATTTGAAGAAAACTGATTGTCACAGCCAAATATAAACTACAGTAAATCAACTGAAGTTAGCCTTTAAAAGGCTAATACTTCATGTCTCAAAAAAAGCCAGTCACCAGACATGGGTCTCCCTCAATAATGAGACATGGCTGCTTAATAAAATATGCTGAAATTCTTTGTTTTTATTTGCTTCTATTTAATTGAATGATTCAGTAGGTCGGGGCGACAGTAGCTCAGTTGGTAGAGCATTGGCCTCAAGGCCTGAAGGTCGTGGGTTCAATTCCCACCTCTACACCTTCTCCACCGACTCCCGCTGATGACTGCTGTCGTTGTGTCCTTGGGCAAGACACTTAACCCCACTTTGCCCAAAGCCCCCACTGAAAGATCAAGGCTATGCTCACACTCAGAGAGCAGCCGTCCTCCTGTGGACTCACCACCTGCAGAGGGTCAGTGAGGGGCTGGTGCTATGAGACTTGGGTGGCATCTCTGACTGCCACCCCCCTGACCCAGAAATGGATTAAAGGGTAGAAAATGGATGGATGGATGGATGGATTCAGTAGGTCCTCTTTTTGGGGTGTATGTATTTGGCATCAACTGAACAGTAGGCTACTCTCTGCCCTCCCCTTTTAAACATTTATAGATCAAAAATAACATTATCAAAATCTATATAAATTGGCTTTTTTCATAATCACATACTCCTGAAAACAAAAACATAAACTTTAAATCACAGAATTCTCTAGATTGCAAGAGTGGTTCCATGTTGTAAAGTGATTGAAGTGTCTTGGAGAGTATATAAGCAGTATGAATAGTTTCATGTTTGGTCATAAGTGTTTTGTGAGCTGCTATGGGCCCTTGGTGCCCTTGAGTGTTCTGCAATCCACCTGTATCCACCTGTAACAATTGGTAAGAAGCAGCAGACTTCCACGACCAGGCTTTCTGCTGAACACCCTCCTTTTGAGGCAAAAAAGTATATCATCACCTAAAGCACTTGCCAACACCAAAAACTCCAGAAAAACACACGTGACATTGAAAAGTTCCATCCCACAAACCACCCTAAATATTTCTGGTTGATTATTTATTCTGATGCATTAGCATACTGTAAGCATCAATGCATATCTCTCTTTGACTACCTCTTCTTATTCAGTCTCACTTCTCCACAAGCCCAGATACCACAGAATAGGTGCATTATTTTATATTAGGAATATATAGGACATAAAACCAAAAAAGAAAATGGGATCTACCAAAAACAAATACAGTACAATGTGTTTAATAGAAAGCTGTGTCGGAGTTGTGGATGGATGATTGTAGCTTCAGTGCGTGAGCATAAAAGTGATGGAACAGCGGCCAGTCTGTTAAACACTTGCTCATTTATCTCATTCCCTCAGAATGGATCGCTGTAGCCTGATCTGGGAGAGGTGAGTCGCGCTGGGGTCATTTGGACCCCACACACCCCTGGTCATGGTCCAGGGGTGTGGCTGTATTTCTGTCATGTCTTTTAATACAGAGCATAATCGACTTGGCCCTTCCCCGACATCACATTTTAATAACCCACGTGTCAAAGCTTCTGAGGCGACCCTTGATTATAAAGTCCTAAATTGCTACTGGTGCTTTGAAATTAAACAAACGCATACATTTTTCGGAAGGACAATACATACATATAAACAATGTTAAATATACTGTATGTCATATCAATGAAAGATATATCTGCTACTTACATAGCAGATGAGTAAAAGAATACACATTTTTTGTGGGCAAAAAGGTCACACAGACAAAAATATGGCACATGTGGAAATTGCACACAAAGATAAACCTTTGGAGATCCTCATTTTCCCTCTGTTTCATTTGATTTTTTTGTGTTGTCAAACTAGAAAGCAAAGCCTTATGTGGGCTTTCTTATTGTAATCTATGTGTATTTACTTAATAATGTCACATTGAGTAAAATGGAAATACATTTGATTTTAAAAACAAACTGACCTAATACAATAGAAGATTTGTCAGATTTACTAAATAATGAATTCACATTATCGTACTCTCTGGGCCATATGCGCACCTGCCAGTACAATAAATACAATGTTGTCCAGATATAGGCTGCATTTGAATACAAGCCGCAGGTTTTCATGTTGTAGATGATTTTCACTGGTTACAACAGGATTGATGTGTTGAACAGCCTTAACCATTAGCTTCCATGACTGGACTCATTCACCAGTCTATTTTGACAATTAGCTTGTGTCCTATGGCTACTAAAACTTGGTGGAGTCAAAATAGAGAGTTCATAGACTCTGCTCTGACAACTCTACCACAAAATTAAAAAAAACTAAATAAGCTGCAGGGATCGAAGAACTAGAAAAAGTAGTGGCTTATTGTTGAGAAGTAACGAAAAATTAGATAAATGCATATTGCACAGCTTCAATCTGAACATATCGGTGTTCGGCTCCACAGCCCTTTCTCATCTGTGGAGTATTTCAAGCTGACATTTTACACCTTGCCGAGGGACTACAGTTGGAAAGTAACTTTACAGCTAAAACTGGTATATTTCCTTGCTCCACCCAGCGGCTACTCCACCTCTGCTGCTGTGACCCACAGTTCTGTTGCATTTTAATACTATTGTTGGCTACTTTTAGAATAATTAATACATTTGTTTTGTTTTATGTGGATTCATATGTTTTTGCTGCTACTGGACACCTGAATTTCTCTTACGGGGGATCAAAAAAGTATCTATCTATCTACAGTAAGGTTGATTTGTGTGTACTGTCCCTTTACAAATTAACTAATAAAATAAAATGAAAATAAGAATACAATATTTTCATCCATCTGATTTAACTTTATGACAGATCTGTATTGTAGCATTTCTATAGTATTACTTCCAGTCCATGTGCGTGTGTGCTGTGCTTTAGCTCCTGACATTCAGAAAAGTCTTCCATGACCCGGAGCCATATACTCACATTTGTCATGAAGTCACAGCCAAGAGAAGGATCACGCTTCATCTCATTTCATCATGTTCTCCAATTCTAGTCATGCAAGAACATTAAAACATTATAATGTGACTATAAACACAAACATTCTATAGTTCAGTATAAGCCAACTGTGTATAAAGTGTATACACCAAGAGTAGAAAAGTGCTTTTTGTGACTTTGGTCTGTGAAATGTGCTATATAAATAAAGATTAGTTATATTTAACTGTTTGATTCTCTGATCTGTGTTGGCGAAATCAACAGTTGTGAAAAGTCCTCCAAGATAACTACTGTTGTGATTTAGGGCTGTACAAGAATACATTGAATTGATTGAATAGAATTGATTACTTACACACCTTACATTAGAGAAAACACAACCGTCTGACCAAATCCATCCAACAACTGCAGAGATGAACGTAAAGATTCAGCAGCTGTTTTGACTCGAATGACAAATTGACCAACATTAAAATATCTGAATTAAAACCCCTTTAATGTTCACTCCTTGAAAAAAGCCATAAAAAATGTTTTTGGGGGGATTTTCTATGTCATAGGAGCACTAATAACAAAAACAATTTGTTTTTATTTTTTTGGAATACCTAGTTTTTTTATTCTAGACCTGCACCAAATGGTTTAGATACAGGTCTATGGAAAACGTGCCTAATATATAGTTATACATGTGTTACAGAAAATAAATGATCATTTTATACCTACAAAGACAAAAAGAAACCAGGAAATTAAACAATGCCATGGCATTATTTAATTTCCTGGTTTCTGCAGAAATTCACTCATGTGAAGTATTTTTGATTGAAAACCCTGTCTTTTGCTAGCCTGGCTCCAGCCGACCTTTAGCCCCGCCTCCATGGAGTTTCTGCGGGCAGGTCGGTCTGGCATTCCTCAATGGAAAAAGTATTATGCCCGGTACGATACATACCGGGCCAGTCAGAGTGACAGGGCGGGCTTCATGTGATGGTTGACAGGTGAGCAACAGTAACGTCAGCATCTACGTCATCAAAGAGCGCCAGGGCAGAATACGTTCAAAACAAACATGCATTGCGCTAGGGAGGTGAGATGTGTGGATTCTGCTATTGATTCTGTTTTACAAGACATGAACAGAGAATTCATCTTGAAATATGAACAGAGAAACGCTATCAAGGCATTTGTGAGTGGAAAAGATGTCCTAGCCGTGCTCCCGACGGGATTTGGTAAAAGTTTGCACTCATTTTACAGGCAGCATGCGAGAAGGTAAACAATAATAACGTCGCATAAATACGTCACACCTCGCTCTCATTGGTTGTTGGACTATCCAATAGTACGAAGGGGGATTGTGTTTCCTGTTTCAGTTCGAACACGCCCCCCATAATACTTTTTCCATTGAGGAATGCCAGACCGACCTGCCCGCAGAAACTCCATGGAGGCGGGGCTAAAGGTCGGCTGGAGCCAGGCTAGTCTTTTGCTTGCATTTTAACGTAATCATCCCACACTTCAAATGAA